CGTTAGGGATACTTCCAGTAGGCAGTATGTGAACTTAAAATCTACGTAAAAGTAAAAACTATTGTGCTTTTTTAATAGAAAATAAAACACAAGTGTGGTACACCACACCAAATTCTCAGAAAAGGCAAAACAAACCAAGAACAGAATGGCACCAGCTGTTACTCCGCATAATTTAAGATATAATAGTAATATAACTAGCGGTTTTTTTCAAGACAAAATTATTTGAATTTCATGAACATGACATATTTGAAACAGGGCTGACAAGCAGTCTAGAATACTAGATGATGGATTGCTGAGAAACATAATTTTCACTTTAATAGAACTACGGCATGCACATAATTCTATCCCCCAGTGCTTTGCTGTTACAGCGAATTTAGTCCAAAATACAGCCTTGAGAATCTGAATACAAATCTATCACCATAACTGGAATGAGCGCTTCATCTGGAAGGTAAGGATTCTCTCTGAATATTAATTTGTGCAGAAATGTACAGTACCGTTGCATGGACACTGGCCAGCATGCGCCCCAGCAAAACGCCTGTTCTTGGTCCAGATGAAGTCAAAGGCAATGTTTTCTTTGACTTCAGTTGCTGCACCAAAAGGCCCATGAGTACCCAAATGGTACTTTATTAAAATGACATACACGCTTTCTAGTAGTGCCAGTTATTCCTGTCCATTTAAGGGGAAAACCAGTAACACAGGTTTAGCATTTTGTAATTACTAATGAACACCCTGCGATTTGTATACTTAGCTCTTCCCCTAAAGAAACCTAACATGAAAAAAGTATTTCTTCCAGAAAAGCAAAACTTAAATTAAGTCAAGTTAAATACAGTGAAGTAAGACATTGGACGATCTTGGGCTGTTCCAAAGAAAAAAAAACTATTTAACCTCTGACAAAAAAAAAAAAAAATCAAGATAGACAGCAAACTCTTTATCAGGTGAATGAAGAAAAGGAAACGGTAAGATTCTATCCTTTGAAACGTCTGTCAGTAAAAGTTTTTTCATTTAAACTGCATTTGCGGGGTTGGGGGGGGAAACACTTATGATTTAGCTGTTTCCAGAATTCACAGTTTAAAGTTTGGAGCCTGAAAAACTTTGACTACTAAAATGTATAAGCCTTTTAAACTTCTGTATTTTAATCTAATAGAATTTAAGTGTATATCGTATACATTCCTTAAGTCTACTCTTATTAAATTTTGATGTTAAACAGAAAGGGGAAACCATGTGCAACTAGATTAATTTATCTCCAGGGAGTAAGGACACATTAATAATTGAGATAATGTTTTCATATATGTTGGAATCAAGTGCGCCTTTTCAATTCTTTATTAGAAAACACATTAGGGGAAAATTATCTCCTTCTCATCAGTAAGACCTAATTGCTGAGAAAGTCTCTGTTTTCTTTGCAATAACAAAAGGATTGTTCTCATTACTTCAAAATGGAAAAAAAAAAAAAAGAAAAAAAGAAAAAAAAAGATCAGAAATATTATCAAGCAGTGCTGGAATAAATGCCTGTATTACCAAAGAGAGTGTTTACTTAGTACACCCAGTCCTGTTTTTGTTTTAAACAAATCAGAGTTTATTGTATTTTTATAAAATACAAGCAAACTTTGGATTGGATAGAAGTGGGCCAAAGGGGAAAAAAAAGAACTACAACTAAAAATGACTAATATTTTTGGCTTTCTGAAGGCCTGATCTTTCTGAAAGTTATAAAAAATTATCTTGGCTGATTGTGAAAGAACTCCATAATTTCCCATGAACACCCATAGGTGTCAAGGCCTGTTGTGAGGTAATGGAATGGTATGTAATTTACTCTGAATCGCTGTACATTATGCTGTATGGATTACATACAAAGCAAACATTGAGCGCACGGTGGGAACACTTGTGCAGACAGACTGAAGCATATTTCCATAGCGTTGAACTATACATCAAATGCAGTGCTTCTGATGTTTCCCACAACAAAGAGAATAAAAAAAAAAAAAAAAATGCCAAATCAGTAACTATGCTTAAAAGCCTTTGCAATAGCCCTTCTGTTTATCTGGTGTACACTGAAAACAAAGAACTGCAAACAAAAGCAAGTATCTATCAACTTTACTTTACAGTGCTGAAAGAAAAAATATTAGAATGCGATTTACGGTACTAAGAAAGAGAAGTTCTCTCTGTAAGGTCCATCAAGACCTAATGCTGAATAACTGATCTGTGGACATACTTGTATTTGCAGCTGTCTTGAAAAGACTGGTGGAGGACAATTGACTAAAGCCACAACTTTATAAAGAGAAAATGATGAGACATTCATTTAACGTTTACAGTGATTTAATCCACACTTCTATACCGTATAGACTAAAAGAATACAAATTATTCAGATACGTGCTTTCAATTGCTTTTATTTATTTTCACAGATCAGCTTTGTAAAATCACACACGCTTTCTGATTACTTTCTTTTGATATACTTTCTCTTTATTAAACATTAATTCTCTGATAGATAAAATATACCGAACTGAAAGTCAAAACAAATGAGAAACGGCCAAAACTTGTCCCTGGAGCTTAGAGTATGTGGTTCTCTGCTAACAATTTTTGCCATTAGCAGAAATAATCTGAGTCCGTGAGCTGCCCACAATACCTCCACCCAAAAAACTAAATATAATTATTATTTTTGAGATAATTCGCTTAAAATACACATGCTTATTTTGCTAACCAACAGGAAATCTGTGTTGTGTGTTAGAAACAGAGGAGAAAACCCACACAAAAACTCAGCTTACACCCATCAATGGCCTGAATCTGGCACATACATCAGTACTATTTCTTTTTTTTACTTTGCATCTTTTTCTTCTTTGGTTGTGGCTTTCCCCCCAACAACCTTGTCTCTTTAATTGCTTTAAAACTATTTTTAAGTTCATCTGAAATTAGACTAAAAAAATCCTTCCTATCTAAAAATGATATTATCAATATTTGCAACTTAGCTTGCATAAAACTGATTCATAATAAAAATAATTTAAATTGAAAATGTAAATATTTAAGGACAATGTAAAATTCTCTAGCTCCATTTATTTTAGCTAAATTTCAATGTTTTATGTAACTTGATGATCTGGCAAGCTTATTTTATTATTTTATATTCTGTTAATTAGCATAGCTTAGACCACAAAACCCCTCTTAACAATGAAAATAAAGCCTCCAACATCACTATAGAGTGTCTCATAAAAAAATATTTGATTAATAACATATCCCAAAATGCTCTCATTATAATCACTGGGCTTTGGTAGGAACAGATTTAAGTCCGATTTATTAATAGCTGCTACACAAGAGAAATTGCATCCCCACGCAAGGCAGCAACAAAACTCTCAATGACTGCAAATCATCCAGTTTTACCGAGCGCATTTTGGTGTGTTCTGAGACTAAACTTTTACTCTTTAATGTGAAAATCTCCCTCTTGCCACTTCGACTCTTTTGGGTAAATACTTTGAGACAAAGACCCTGATGTGTTATTCACTATTTGTTTGCATTTAGGAAATGCATAGGAGCTCCTACTCATAGAAAGAAGTCACACGTATTAGACAGCATGTAAAAATAGAACATAATGATTAAAACAGGTAATCATCAGTCCCAAAGAGCTGACAACCGCAGGTTCATGGTTTTCCGTGTGAACAAGTGCTATACACAACATGTAGGCTCCACAATACCAAATCTCTTTCAAAAATCCATTCACTTTTACTGTATAGCCACTGAAGACAGCAAAAAAAACTCTTTGCATCTTCATGGACTCCTTGTCGGTTTCTAACTAGCAAGCACAGCCCCTTATATTATGAAGATGCAGATTTGGCCTAGATGAGTAAATATCACCTGCAGAACTACGACCACATTTCTGCTGAGTCTCCGTAGCAATTTGACTTGAGGTGACCTGAAGCTGCAGCTACAGAGAACTAAGCAGAACTGAGAAATGACACCTTTCAGCACAAAGCAAAGATGACATGAATGGCAAAAGACTAGGCAGACAGTAGGTTGTTTCTGTAAATAAGAAGTACTGACACAGACAGGGATTATACGTGTTCCCTATTAATTATTAGATCTGTATGTTAAATGAGCATACACTGCCTTTGCTTTCTAAATTAACTTACCACATGATGCTGTTTTTAGCATCTGCGTACAAACTATACCTAGGCACAAAACTCCAGTGCTTCACTGGAGAAAACATACACGGTCACAAACAGTAACAGCCGTGGATGTCCCCGTACAAGGAATACAATAGCGGGTTTACGATCTGTTCTGCCAAACCACAGTCAGTCTTCACCACAAAATAAACCAAACTATCACACCCTGAATGTTTTCATATCAATTATCACTGTTACCCTCTCTAAGATGGTGACAAACACAAAAAAAAAAAGGACATCTTCAGAGAGCCGAAAGTGGCTTTCACATAAAAGCACCGGACGCATCATTAGGGGAGTGCACAGCCGGTGCAGGACACCAGAGCTAAACTAAACTGTGAACAAGCACTAACGCCTTCACTGCGTGGATAGCAGGGCTGTAGAATGGGCTCCTGCACTTGTTTCAGCAGCTTTCTCGGGCTGTCTGTAGGCCACAGCCATGGTACAATACGCCGTCTCAACCCACACGTGCTACTCAGACTGAGACGATACGGCTAGTACTGTGACCAGAGAGCTCCATCAGCTCTTGTTGCTCGGGACAAAATGTAAAGAGCACCGTGTGTTGTAACCTTCAGCCTTCTCTGGCCACGTCTCTCTATTCCGCGTTACAGCACCTGCAACACATCTGCTCTTCCTATGCAAACCAGTTGGAGGCCTGAGGCGTCCACTGGTTTTCTGGCTGCCCCCAGTGCCGCAAGGCTTTTGCTTCCTCTGGCTACGTTTTCAAATCTGATGGGTCAGCTTCTTTAAACTGTGTTGATTTATTTTCATGGCTAGTGAACGGTGCTAGTACTATGTACAATTGCACTCAACATCTAATTCAAACCAATCAAATTTGACGAGGAAGGAAAGATGACGACTTACTTCCCAGAGATGCTGAGTGTTCCTGATGGCTCCCGCTTGAACCTTCTCTGGCAAGAGCAAGACGCCCTGGAAGGGCCCGATCCAGGTGCCCTGCTGGATCCGCTGCGCCGCACAAATGCCGTATGCCAGGCCGGGCACCGTGCTGGTGCACAGACACACTTCCCGGGGCAGGTCCCGCAACCACTCTGGGATCTCGGGCGGAGGGGCTGCTGCGGCAGCACTGCTGGTGCCCACCAGACGGCGGAGGGGGTGGAGGGGGCCGTGCGTGGGGCACTCGCTGTTGCGGTTATCGGCACACATGTCACATCCTGTGGGGCAAAGAGGGGAAAACACCATCAATATGGTGCTGCTGGCCACCACCATGGTCACTGCCACAGGCAAGATGGTGCAGATCCCTCTGCTTTTCCTACCATTTTGTGGCAGCTCAGGACTCACACACACTGTGCCCTTTTGCACGTTGCTGAGGACGGTTTTCCTAATCTCGCCAAAGCCCTTAATACGGAATCCCAAAACCCTGCAGACATTTTGCAAGCCTGGTGTGTTCACAGACCTGCCAAGACTCATTTATTTTAACACAGTTTTTTAAGATTCATTTTTTTGACTAATATAAATAGCCCATTTAAACCATCCCCGTGTGTTTCGGTGAGACATTTTAAAACACAGTCATAACACCTCACAAGTCCCCCTCATTTGCCTTACCACAGCTCAGCTCAAGAGTTTAATCAGCACAGGGTTTAATTTCATCCTTATTTTAAATGAACATTCACTCTACTTTTTACATGAACATGTGTGTGCAAGCCTGTCTGTTTAGAAAATAAAATAAATTAAACAGAACCTCATGAATGACAAATCAGAGCATGCATGGACATTTACTTTCTTATAGCCGAATCTAATCTTTAAGTAGAAATTATGTAGCAAATACTACTGAATCCTAGCACACGTTTGAAAATTTTTATTGAATAGGAATGCATGTTTCTTGCCTGTTACATGTAGCTGAGGCTAAGAACAAAACCAACATGCCTGGTTTTGTGAACAGCTCCCACGAAAAAGACCGGTTTGTAAAAATGTTGTTTTCCCTAATGGCTTTTAATAAGGGATGATGTTTCTCTATTTTTGGAAGATCCTACTGTGATTTGTCTATTTTGAGCGAAGAAAATTTTGGTTAAATATTTCCACTGCACACTATTGCACATGCCATGAATGTACAACTTCCAGGAAAATGTTTCGAAAATGTTTCGAAAATGTTTCATGATCAGGAAATCCATTTCTCTGGAGGTATGCTGAGTTAACATATCAATAAATCTACTGAAATAGGTTACCGTCTTCTGCACATTTCATTTTTGTAGCTCAGTTTTCATATAAATTTATTCCAGAAGGACAAAGGAAAAACAATAACTATGCCGTAGTACTCATGTAGCAAACCCTAGATCTTTCCCCTAATAATTTTATACAACCTACACCCATTCTTACAAAAATAAAGTACAGTATTCACTATAGAAGCTGTAGCTTCTTGGTCTAAGCCACAGATTTAGACTTGCTAGATTGCCTGTAACCACAGTTTCAATTCTCAGGGGCACTGACTCAGCTGTTCTTCTTTCCGAGGTGGACGTACTATGTATTATGTAGGCCTCTTTACTACAGAGCCTTCAAAGAAAAATCTCCCTCTTTATTCTGTAAAAGCTGCTAAAGGATAATAAAGGCTGCATTTTTAAAATATCGCCTCTATTTGCATTCTCCAACTTCAGACACGCTTTCCAAGCACTTTACTTTCCTGTAATCCTCTTTTAAATTGTACCATACAAAAATGACGCATTCAGCAATATGAAAATATTTGAAAGTTACATGTGGAAGCTAATTTCCCTCAAAATCATTACACCTTTGAGTCTTGCAGGTAATGCATGTGTCCTCGGTGCTGGTGTCTTCAAGTTCTCTACCAGTAACATCGATCAGAGATCTTAGCAGCAAGCAAGCAAACCCCGAGTTGTGCAGTACTCTGATGGGTGCCCCTGCAGAAGGTGGACGGCGTATGAAACTCGCCCCATGCCACCCCTAACATGTCACGCAGGGTAAGGGCAGGAAGGCAGGAGGGCAGAAGAGCCCTTGCCGGCACTGCAGCACACCCGAGCAGCTACAGGACACAGCCCCCTGGTGGGGACCATGCTTAGACTGGCAAACAAAAAATGCCTTTTGGCTGGAGGGTTAAAGCCTTTCCTTAACAATATAATCCCTGTCGCAAAACGACTCTTTTGTTGGGTTAAGCCGTAACTGCAGAGGGGTTTTGCTTGCTCAGTCACGTCAGTTAGAGGTGGCTGGAGGATGAGATTTGCAGGACCCCAGGGAAAAGGTTTCTGGCTAGTGCTGAGAGAAGATTATTATGCAGCAAATATTCCTACAGCCCTTCCCAGGCATGATGAATAAAAGGCAGCAAGTACATGCTGTGGGTTTTTTTGTTGTTGTTGTTTCCACAGCTAGTTTGGAAAGTGAGGTATCACCACAACATCTTTTCTTTCCTCTTCGAAACCAGTCATCAAGAAAGCCTGTGTTTTCGGCATATCCAAAGATCTCAGGGGCTTCACTGGAGTTTGTCATTGGAGATCATACAGGAAAGGATCTCAAATAGGAAAAAATAATAAAAAAAACCCACAACCTCAAACAGGTTGGCATGTGAGTACACTTTAAACAAATCCAGCATCTTACCATGAAAGTTAGAAAGAAAACATCTGACAGAAGAACTGAGGGGATTAGGAGAGGATTTCTAACCATGATGTCAATTAGCACCCAGGGCAGGCCCTTGAATCCGACCTGTTTGCACTGTTTCACTGTTTTGTAGATGCATAACTCTCCTCCCAACCACCTGATTATTAATGGCTTTATTGGAGACACCATGTCTCTGTAGCAACTTACATTAAACATGCTAAGGCATCTTCATGACTCCACTCAGGCAATTCCAGAGTCAATTTCCTGCACCCTGCCACCAGATCTGTATAATTTTTCATGCACACAACTTTCCGTACCTGCCTAGAACAAGCATTTCTTCGATACCTCCTGACAATATGTGTGCATGAGTGTGTATAAAACATTTTATTTCCACCTTTTCAAGGAAAAGAAATTAAGAAATTAACTGGGAGTATAAACCAAACCTATGTCGCTGTAATTTACCCTTATAGAAAGTCACACATAGTGATATTTATTTTCCACTATCCAAAACCACTGGTAATGTCTTAATGCTTGGCAGCGGCAGTATCTGGTCTCCTGCTGTGTTCTTTTCCCTTTGTCCTGCCAAAGCTGAAAATTTGGAAAGCGGGACATCTTCTGAAACTGTTTTGGCTTACGGCTTGTTCATGAGAGGGAAGAGTCTGTCTTTAATACTAAGCAGTACTGAAATTTTTCTTAGTTGCATGCTTTATACATCTCTCTTTAGTTTTTATGCAATAATACAAACAAAATTAAAAAAAAAAATGTCATAAATGTTATAAGGAGTGGAAGCCCTACTAGACGTATTTTACCATGCCCTGAGTAAAAAGTTGATGTGCATTTTTCCTCTTCTGTGACTAATTTTTGTGCAATGATACTTGGAAGGCTTTTACCCAAGCACACTATCAATAATGTTATACCACCCGTTTACAGACAGTCACTCTAAGCAGTGGATTCCTCTGCCTCAGAGGACAAGGGAAGGAACTTCAAGACTTGCACACTATCCTGCCTCACAGAAAGGATCAACAGCACTATCTTCATAGATTCTGCAAAGTAGAATGTGATACAGTGCACCAACTTACTTAATAATACATGGAAAAGAAAGGGGGTTTTTGAGAGGGAGAGTGTTGTGGTCCACTGACATCACTAGGGTCTCCAAACTGGATGACAACCGTTAAGAATCCCACAGGTGTGGGAAGTTCATGTAAAAGGGATGTGGCAGGACAAGTGTGAGCTTTCCAGAGGACTGCCACACAGGGCGACAAGGAGAGACGTGCTGTGCCCTTCCTCCTGTTTTGGGCTCAGAAAGCACAGGACTCCTCCTGTGAGTACTGTGCAAGTACAGGCCTCCTCCAAGGACTGCTGAAATGAATACTTCCACTGGCTGTAACAGCATCAGTCAAGCCCCAAATCAAGACAAGGAGAAGCAAGAAATGTGAGAAAATTGAGGGAGCTGCTGAAAATGGAAAAAGGAAGGAGGACTGCAGCCAGAGCAGAGTGTCTCCTGATAAAATCAGGAAATGTAGAAGGTAAGGTCATCAGGAATGCTCCATTGCAGGCCCAGAGGCAGCCAGACTTTTTGGAAGGAGATCAGTTCCTCACTTTGTAGCTTCTCACTCTATAGATGGGAGGATTAAGGCAAGGAAGAAGCAAGAAAAAAAAAAAAAACAATAACTATTTCCTAGTGGAGCTGTTTGGTATGGCTCTTTTGGGAGGAGAGTAATTTGTTATCATTTATTTGCCTCCATAAAAATGGACACAGTGTTATGCCAGCACTATAATTCCATGTGAGTACACTTAAAAGTACTAAACCTAAGCAAAAGGGAAAGGATACATCATTGCTCCCAAAATACAATTCTAAACACTGTGCAACCTAAGTAACACTACTACTGCATATTTTAAAGGAAATCTGAGAGAAATCTTTAGTCAGTGAAAGGTAGAGTCCAACATAGCATTTTAACCAGCAAAGCAGCTGTAACAATAAATGAAAGAAATACACGTTTTGTCTCAGCAATAATATGCTTCAAAGGTGCAGTTACACTGGATACCTGCAGTTTGCTGGTATTAAAGAAGGGTGGCCTCTGACCCTTGGCTTCATAATTCACCGCAAGCATGCAGGTATCCGATGTAAGTGGCCATCATTTCACACAGTATTACTCACTTGCGAGTATAAATCACTGCGGCTGGCCCCGCGTCCCTGGCTGGGCCCGGGTACCCAGCTAAGAGGGAGGGTGGGCTGGGTGAGACAGTACCCGTTCCTTTCCTTCCCTGAGGGCCGGCGCTTTCCTAGGGGTCGCGGGTTCCTCGTGCCTCAGTTTCCTCATCGACGAGCCGGCATCAATGTCCTTTTTTT